TTTTATTAAAAGATCCTGGGTCCTTGTAACTCTAACTCTGACTCTACTGTTCATGCTCATACTCTTTCCCCATTCTTCAATTTCTTTCTCTCCCCCCTTTTCTCTGTCTCTCTAGATATGCTGCGATTTTCAGAGAATAACCACAGTCAACCTAAAGAGACAGTTTCTTGGTGCACTGGACATATATGCACCAAAGATCCTCAAAATGTCCAGTTAGAAGAGAGAATATGGAGAGAATATGCAGGCTCTTCTTGATGAGCTTGATGAACAGGTATGTTATTTAAACCTAGTTCATCCTGCCTGTTCTACAGCTTGCTGTTACTAAGTTGTAACTTGGGGCTTTGACATTTTTTACTGTGCTGTTTATTTAATGTACTTTAAGTCCACATTAACACTTTTAGGTAGGTACTACAAAGTGTTGTATTTCAGCTCCTCTTTGCTGGTTTGCTTCTTCCAGACATCATGATGCACAGAAAGGCTGCAGCACTTAAAGGTCTCCCACCATTTTGAAGAGAGGTTGAGGCAAATGCAGTCCTAAAGACATGCTTGGTAAATACACATTCTATTTTTGACTTGATGGTTCTGCAAAAAATAATTATCATCACACTGCCCAGCAGGTGACTAGCTATAGCTGTCTATTCTAGCTGACTCCTGAAATATGCATATTTTTTTTACTTAATGTTTCCAACAGGGTACTGATCCTAAAGAGAAGTACATAAAAGATGTGAAAGTGGTCATCCTGACTGTGATGGAAGATGAGGGAGGCGCTCAATCTTCACCACCAGACGTTACTGGCTTCGCCATTGTCCTTGAGGAAAATGTCATTGTTGAGAGCGACTACCAAGTGCATTTCTTCTCCTGTTCAGCCTTTTATATGTCCTGAACATTGAGTACCCAAAAGAGATGAAATACACCTTTGAGGTAATACAGAAAGTCTTTTTAAGGCTTGGCACCAACTGCTCAGCAAGAGTGCAGACTCTTAAAAACAAGCTCTTGCTGTAATGTCCTGAGATTTTTTTTCGGTATGAATAGCTTGAGAAAACGAATTTCAGCTTCAATGCGTCTGCTATTAGTAAGCCAAAACAATGTCACAAAAGAATGGTTTATATTTGTTGTTTGTTTATTGTTCTAAGTATGTAAATGCTTATCCTGTGTGGTATTGCATTGTGCTGTGTGATCTGACATTTTGTTTGTGGTTTTGTTCAGTGCTAAATGCATCCTTCTTTCTTTCTACATGCATGTATGCATATATATGACATACTTACATGCATACACTTGGATTTCATTTTTTCCTACTATGCTGATTGCAGTGTTCTTCCTCATACTATGCTGATATAAGTGTTACTTATTCTGTGGGGATGCAGCATTACTCTTAGTGCTCTGTTTTGTAATGTTACCGAGCTAATGTTGTTTTATATAGTTATACTGTTTGGGCACAGTAATGTTAACAGTTTGTACTCTTCTGATTCATGGTGTTTTAACACTGATTGTGTGGATACATAGTGGTGCCAGTTTGTCCTAAATTAAACAAGGTTGAAGGATCAGTAACTCAAATCACCTACACTGCAGTATAACACACTCAGAGGAAATCACTATCCACCCTCTCCTACATACATGAGCTCACAGACACCCATGATTGGCTAGTGTCACACTGATTGACAGGAGAGAGAGAAATACCATCCCTCCCACCCAAAGAGCACAGCCATTTTTGCTCTCTACACTCCTAGCCACAAGTATCCAGCTGCAAATCAAATCTCGCAAGACAATGGCATAATAGGTGAAAACTCTGTGTAAGTTCAGCAATACCAGCCTAGTTTCAGAGCCAAAATGACATCTTCAAGCAAAACACTGTCAATTTATGCTGGAGTCAGGATTACTGAGACCAGAGAGCAGAATGACAGATGAAAGAATGATGACATGACGGAGCATTACTGCAATGCCACATAACATAAGCAGTTCTAGGTAACAGGAATTTTAAAGCAAATCAAATGTGAAGTGCAAATAGTTTAGCTGTCCAGTCAGCTATATTGTTAATTCAAAGATTTTTGCTGAGGGTATAATTTTAAATATAAAGGAGGCGAATATTGATTTGCATACTGGCAAACCTCCCACAGTAAGATTTGGAAAGCTTTTCTCAAATAACTCAATTTTAATTTCCATTAAACCCATAAAACATATTTTAAACTTCATATTTTGGTCAGGAGCTGTAACCTTGGTGAAGCAGTCAGTAAGCAATTTGATAGTTTGCCATTAACCACTTGATAGTTTGCCATGAATGCATCAAATTCTGATTACAGTTTCAGGTTTTCATTCTACATCAGAATCAGGCATCTACCTTGTGACTACCAGAGAGTTTTGAGCATAGATGTTAAATATGCAGCAATATTTTCTGATATAAAAGCAACCACTGTATTGGTCACAGGTGGTAGTTCATAATTCAAGCTTTCCCTTTCCTTTGCTAATCCTGATATGGTGCCCTTGAGCAAAGTACTTAACCCCACATTGCAATCCCTTTCTCCTCCCCTTAGGCCATGCTTGTAGATGAGAATATGTTCTCAATGCAGCATCCAAGCTAAAAGAAAGGTCCTCTACCCTGAAGGCAAGGGCTCTACTGCACAATACTGGTCTCAATGAACCATGTAAGAGTGTTCCAGACTTAGCAAGCCTGTCCGTCTTTTTACCACTGATGACTCTTATACTGCTAACAGAATAACTTGATCAGATACCAGATAAACAGATCAAGTGTAGTACAAATAAAAAAAAAATGTATGTAGGCCTTGGATATTGTACTTAGAGCTGTGTATGTTTCAGTTACTTCATCTGCACAGCTTTCAATTACTGCAGTGGGCAATGCAGTGCATAAAACATCATTGTTGTTCTTTTGATAGTGATAGATTTTACAGTCAGTAAGTTTTTGGATGACAATGAGTTCCACAGCCTGCAGACTGTCTTGATCATTTTAGTCTTCATGGTCCAGTACCTTTATGCTGAAGGGAGAGACTGAAAGATGCAGTGGGTAGGACATTAAGAGCCTGATCTTTTTTTGTCTGATGATAAAAAGGGTCTTGAAGGAGGGCACAGCCAATAATATTTTCTGCAGTCCAAATAATGTGCTGATGCTTGAGCCTCTCTTGTGTGATCATTGACCCAAAATGTACATTTTGGGATGATGTAAGGGCAGACTTTTTAATGACTAAGTAGAACTGGGACTTTTTCAACTGCTTTAGAAACTTTACAGTGAGGTCCTTTGAGGTGCTATTATTAATGTAGAGAGCACAGAGCAGAGGTGTGAGCACACAACCTTATGTAGCCACAGTGTTGGGGTTCAGAGAGTCTGATGATTTTTATACTAGCCTCATACCAATTTCTGGCTATTAGGATGTCCCTGGTCCACCAACAGATGGAGACAGGCACAGACAGCAGGGACAGATTGGTTTGTATTAGCTGTGAGATTAAATGGGCTGTCATGTTTTTTGAGATAGGGAAGAGGCAAGCCAAAGTCCTTCTAGAAAAGTCTGTCCACTCAATGGTCATCTTGGCAAGGCTCCCGAGCTGATATTTTCAGTCATACAAAATCAGGATCCTATTTACTTGAATGGGGATAGACCCATATACCTTTTTCATAAAGAGGATTTAAAATGGCTGTTCAAATCTGTCAAAAAAGATGCAAGTAAGGTGTAGTCTTTCGCTCAAATAACACAAGTGGATCCAACTAATGCATGCGTCCTACATCTGTGCATGCATCAATATAAGAATCAGTATAAGAATAGGTCAGGTGTTTTCTGGTAACGCCTTAACCAACAAGGCATTTGGCTCTTTTTACTGAGTGGCAGAACTTTCATAACACTGCCGTCATGCCACATTCGCATTATCAGCAGTGGCCTTACCCTACTCTATATTATCTCTTGGCAAGCTCAAGTATCTCAAAGACAGAAATAGTACAGGCGACAGAAATTGATTTAAGATATTGATAATAATTGATCTGTGCTTCAGGGCAGAATAGTTTGGCTTTCAGTCTCCTGCAAAGTCATTTTACCTTTTATGCATGCATCTTAAGACAAGGCAATAAAGTATACATCGAGTTGGTGAATCATGAGAGGTAAGGAAACAGGGAGGAAACAATGGGCCTCATTTATCAAGAGGGATATAAACAGATTTATTTGTAAATTGTTCATATAAGCATTTACACAAGAAGTTTGGTATTCATGAAAATCCCAAATTTCAGAAAAATGTATATACCCTACTCGCTTTCTTGAATGTGAGCAAACTTACACATAAGAAGTCTAACTAATGTAAACCTTGACTACATTTTAATCTACAGCTCACACTGTCAAGTTGAGTTAGCTTGGGTATTTCAATTAAACATACAAATTTGATTAATAATTTGTGAAACCCAGTCGTTTCATATTAAAGGCATTAAATAAAGAAATATTAAATATGAAATAAATCAAGCAAACTAACATAAATCCATAAATTAAGATAAATAAGATCATTCATTCAATTTAGAATGCTGCTGTATAAAAAGAGGCCGATTTCACAAGCTGCAATGTGCCATATACTCCCTAGTGTGCCATCATTGGGCCTCCTATGACACTTACATGCCTTCTTGCTTTTCCAACACGGGGTTAGAGAGGATGTACTGGCACATTCTGGCCAACATTCACTCAGACACTTTGCTTTGAATAAAAAAAAAAAGCAGTTTCCACAATCACCTGGGTACATTATATACACTAGGTACAACATAAACTAGGAATTTGAATTAAATTATTTTTATTGGCTTAAATCAACCCAGTAGTCAATGGTGGTGGTGTTCTTTCAGCTGCTCCCATTAGGGGTTGCCAAAGTGCATCACCTTCCATTTTGTCTACATATTGATTTGGCAGTCCATCCATTTGGTTCTACAATGGATGCCCTTCCTGACACAACCATCCCCATATATCAGGGCTTGGGACCAGCACTGAGAGTACACTAACCTGTGCACCCCCACTGGCTGGGATTGGCACCCAGCATGGGATTCAAACCCATGCTCCTGAGCTCAAGAGTCCCATGCACTACCAACTGAGCTAGCCAGGCACCAAGCCAACAGTCAATGATAAGATGTGAAAACAGTCTAACATGCTCATTCTTTTGTGTCCATGTCAGTTCTGTGGCTTCAGCATTTTGCACCAGGTGCATATTGTCTGCTGTCTTTTCAGGCAGCCCAATGAAAGATGTATTATTTCTGTATGAGAAAACCCAAAAGCATAGATCTGCTTCTTGACTATAGCACTGCGCCTGGTTAAGAAAAATAACACACAGTGACATTATTAATATATGATACTGAATGTAGGCTAACACTAAACTTTTACGCTTCAGGGTTACCTGTAAAGCTCGATTTCCCAGTTGAGTACTAGTAGTGATAATAAAAATCTCTTTTTTATCATTATTTAATTTTAGGTAAATTATTGTTCATGTAGTTTAAAATGCAGGAAAGATAATATTGAATTAGTCCAACAGTGCCTGGCTGCAGACGTGCACTCTTTAGCACATGCACTCTCAGCCTCAGTGACATTCACGCTCTGCCAAAACAGCAAAAGTGGCTCAGCAGTCATTTGCTGTTGGCAGTTTCTGCTAATTATGTGCAGACAAATCTTAAACAATATCATCATGATAGTTTTCTATTCTCTGTCAAAATCACCAATAATTAATTATCCCACATTAATTAACCATATTTCTATATTGCAAAGCTAAAATAACATCCAAAAATAATACCCACGCTGTTTAGGGGTGTAACGCAATGATATTATCTGCTTCTGTATCTGTTTAGTGCTCTCCATATCTGTATTCGGAACTTCTAAACTGAAGGGTTTTTTTTGTTTTTTTTTTAAATACGAATCCTTCCACTGTGCCCCTGGGAAAACTGGAAAAAACACAGCAGTAGAAATGCCAGATGCCAACACTGTCAGTACTGGCTGTGACAGTTCCTCAACCTCAGTTGCATCATTCAAGTCCATAATTGGTTGAGATGAGCACAGGACTGTTTTTTAAATCCCGCTTGTGCAGTCATTATTTTTGTTTGTACCTGCAAAAAAGAATGTAGTTGGTTCTATATCCCAAAATACAAAAAAATAACAGATAATTAAATTAAGACGTCTCAATGGCGGTATGTACAAAAAACAATACAAAAAAAATCAAGTGTCAATCCTTGTGGCACACCTTAAAAATATTTTGGATTTCTGATACATACATGTTGCTGCCTCACAGCTCTAGAGTCTCTGGTTCAATCCTGAGCTTGACTTATTCTCTGTGCAGAGTTCTGCGTGTTCTTCCTGTGTCTATGTGGGGTTCCTCTGGGTTCTCCAGTTTCCTCCCACATACTAAAAACATGCCAGTAGGTGGACTGGCTAAGATAAATTGCCCCAAGGTGTGAATGTGTGTATGAATGTGTATGGGCATAATGCTCTGCAATGGTTACTGAAAGTGAGTGGGTGGTTCATACAGACAGTGATTCATACATAAAAGGTTAACAAAGTAATGCGTTCAGAGTTATAAATACACTACATTCATCTACACAGTAATTATAGTGTATGCAAGTGTTTAGTTTCAGTAAACAAATCAAATTATCCAATTATTTCTTCATGCTGCAAAATACTGTAAGCAAAAAGACGTGTTTTATCTGTCCATCTTTCCATAACTAATGTCTGCACATTCCCGTTTTCTTATTTACATTTCATGATGTTCTTTGTTGTGAGATGAGCATTATTATTATTATTATTATAATGCACGCAGGCACCCCACTGAGTCCCTCCCTCTGTGTGCTGCAGCAGTACTTATGAAAGCAGATGACAGTAATCATCTTGTCCCAGCTCTACTCATATAACCAGAGCTGTAGTCCATACTTTCCTGGAATTTCACTATGTCCTCCAATGTGCTGCTCTACCATCCACCATTAGTTCACCAGTCAGGTCTATTTCACAAACAAACTAATATTGAAGAAGAAACTATACTAAAATGGCAAATCAATCTCTGCACAATTACCAGCCAAGATGAAATTTCTGCATGGAATAGCACCGTCTTTACCCAGCTTACATCTCTCCCTCATATTATTACTCTATGCTATCAACAGTTGGCTTGAAATATCTCAGCTGAGTGCTGCACTGCTCAGAACAAATTCACCTCCAAAATTACTATGTTGAGTTTATTGCCTTTCTGCTCTCAGCAAAAGATTGGCTGGCTCAAAATAGCCTGAAAAACACAGTCTTCTGAGACTACAGGTAAAAAAAAATAAAAAATACAGCAGAATCACCGTTTTGGTCAAAAGTTCTAAGTGCTGATTATATGCACACTTTTTACAGTGAGACTGTAAGTGGTATTTTGAAATATTAACATACTGATCCTCGCCAAATGTATATAAATATATATACACATATAAATAAATATATAAATATAAATGCCACATGATAAAAATATAAAGTACACTGCTATTCCAGGTGTACTACTATTTTACTTTTACAAGAAATCTTTAGCTGTGACCTCAGTGCTTTAAATCAATATTTCAATGGACCTGTAACCATGACAATCATGTTCCTGCTTAATTTTTTTAAATGCCTCCACCACTTACTGGTTCATTATGTTTTGGGGTTGCCAATCCATCCAATCATTCATTTTTTTCTGAGAATCGAGATTGTTAGCCTGATATCTCAAGAACGAGTGACTGAATGTTTGTAGGATTTATTTGGAATTATCACTGTAACCAGCAGATGAACTGATTTAGATTTTGGAACTGATCCAAACAGGGTCAAGGTCACAGCAAGGTCAAATTTCTGAAATAGTTTTTCTTTTAATAGTTTCCTTCCTGATTGAAGTATATTTTAAGGGTATTTCTGGCATGCAAATTAGTAACAAGAAGGAAGACTTGGCAGCGGCATCCCCACTGACACCACTGACATCAAGTTCTACTTGTTCTCTTCCTGTTCTTTTCATCTCTTTTTCTCTCCTTTTCTTAGGGGTTGCTTTTCTAGTCCAAAAAATCTAACTTTATATATTGCTAACAAAGTCCTTATTATTGTCCTCCAAACAGGGTAGTTGGTGGTGGGTTTAAAAAAAAAAAAAGAAAGAAAAAAGAAATTATGTTCAAAGGATGTTCAAGCCTGAAATATACAGTATGTTAGAGATTAAGTGCCCTTTAAAACAGTGTTACTGCTTCTTTTATCCAAAATCAGGTGGGGTTTCACCTTGAGTAAACACTACTCACAGATCTGGGTTCCCTCTTAGCATTAACTGTACACATTTCCCCACCACAATAAGCCATACACAGTTGGTGAAGGTGATAGAGAGCCAGGAGTATTTGAGTCTTCATCACCACTGAATAATTCAGCACACATTGTGGCACAAAGAACCATAAACTGCATGCAGAGAGAGAATCAGGTAGCAAGGGGAGTAAAAGAACAAATAGTGTCTGAGGTGTTTCTTTCAACCCTGGAACAGGATGCAGAATTTGTCTTAAATCATTTGCTTCTGAATGGAGCTTTGTAGTACTTTCCATAATGTGCAGAACTTATGCTTCTCATATAGGTTGCATGCGATAACGTTTTTTTTTTTTTAGATTCTTCACATCTATATAAATTACATTTTCATTCTACATTTCTGCTAGTTGTGCAACACATTAATGCATTTGTATGTCAGTGTTTGCATATAGCTTTATAGCAATATATACAGTGGATATAAAAAGTCTACGAAAAAAAACCGAAACCAGGATAAATGAAAAAAAAAAAAACGAAACCAGGATAAATCATGTCACCTTTAATGTAATATAGCCACCAACAGAATTTTAATTAAAAACAAACAGAAACAAAGAAGAATATTAACATTTTGGAATGGCCCAGTCAGAGTACAGGTCTAAATCCTATCAAAAAGTTGTGGAGTGACGAAGGATGCAGTGTACATGAGATCCCACCAGCAATTGGATAGATCTGGAGCATTTTGCAAGGAAGGGTGGAATAAAATTACCAAATCAAGAGAAGTGCTAAGTTGGTAGACTCTTACCCAAAAAGACTGAGTAATATAGTACAAGCAAAATAACAAGGTATTAGTTAAAGGGTATGCAAACTTATGCAACTTTGCTAAACTTTTTGTAAGTTTTTTCTTTTTTCCCTAAAATGTTTCTATTTGTTTTTCACTTGAATTTTGTGGGTTGCTCTATCGCAATAATGGTGGGAAAGCTCTGATATGATTTATCTTGTTTTTTGGTAACAGTGGTATGTAGACTTTTATATCCATTGTAATTAACTTCAGATCACTCTTAGAGATTATGTTTTCTACACTAAAACCTGAAACATGAGGCAGATGGAGACTGATGGTTGACATTTTACTGGATTGTCTTTACTGTATTGACTTAGAAAATGAAAGATATCCAGTATTCCACAAACCCTGACACATGTCTTTATAATCCATTACCTGAAACTAGTAACACATGCGTTGAACTGCAGGTTTAGTGGTGGCACAACAAAGAGAGAATCCCAACAGAGCTTTGAGGTGGGCTTGAATTCGCTCTTCGAAGCCGATGCCCACATCGCCTGCAGAGCATACGGGTAAAACAGGTTACTTCTGAATTCACAGCCAGGCCTGCTTTCAGGAGATTTAGTTGCTGTGGCTAATGCAACACTCTCCATGCTTTAATCTATCATCCTCTGAGTAGAGGCTTCATCTACTTAGCTACCTCAGCCACTATAGATTTTTAAAGGGACCCTGAGTAAAAGAAAAGTATGATATAAATAAAACATTATTATTATTATAAACTTGCTATAATTCCTCCGTATGGGCAATCCAATCAAGAATTACCAGTTAGAATGGCACTGACAGTGGGAGTGCTGTAGTTCTTTCTAAGTGACCCCTGACTGCAGACAAAAGCAAGAGAAGAGAATACTATAAGAATCCTTATTGCCTTGTTGTCACCTTGGTGTATTATGTAAAATAACTGAGAATAAGGATGGGCTAAACTATAAGGCCATTATGGGGAGATGATTACCTTTCTATGAGCAAAATCTCTTAAGATATTTAAGGCTCTACTGAAACAAAATGTGGCATGAATCTAA